GGCCTTAAAGACCCCTCTGCCTTCTTCTTTCCCTCTTTATAATTTTTTTTGACTACCTGCTCTAAAAAAAGCTAGAAGAAAAAAAAAATTAATTTCTCTTTATTGTGTAGCTTCACTGTGAGCTTATTCTTTTAATCTAAAATTATTTCTTTTTGGTGCCACAATCTGACTTCAAGCTTCTTTGCTGTCTGTGAACATGACACACAGCAGCAGCCAGAGAGGAGGGGACAGGCTGTGTCTGGCCTTTGCTGGGCACCAGGAGGGCTGAGCACGGCTGGAGGACACTGCTTTAAACAGCTTTTTGCAGTCCTTTTCTCCCTCATTTAACTGAGTTTTTATCTCAGAAGCATAAGGGCTAACAAATAAAATATAAATAGTTAATTTTCCCTCTGTTCAACCTGGGAATTCAGATTCAAGTTTAGACAGGAAAATCAGAAGGAAATTCAAAGATACTCTGCTTTCTTGATGACTGCAGCTGCTACCTGAACACAGAGATTCCCTGTAGATCTACGAACAAGGACTTCCAGAAGCTGATAAAGATGAAGAAAACTCTGGAAGACCTTCCTGTACCTGCCACCGCCTGCCTAGTTCATCGGATTGCTTTCAAATCCCGGGCACTACGTGACTCTTCCCTGTTGGCAGGAGGAGAGAATAGACTCCCTGACTGGACATGCAGAACATGAACGGGGCCACCGCTGCTCTGGGCAGGACAAGCTGCTCCCTGGGCACCTCCACACAAAGCCACGGCCCCAGGGGCTCGCCCTCCCCTCGTTTTGTTCCCTAAGTGTCCCTTCCTGGTGGCTGGAGTAAAGAGGATGGTGAGTTGGGCAGGTGTTTGGGTGGGCTGCTCCTCTGCACGTAATTCAGTCAATGAAGTCCCTGACTGAGTTTCTGGGTTGCTCTCCCAGGGCAGTGTTATTGCACAACGGGATTTGGAGAGAACCAGTTGGTTAAATGACATTTTTATGAAATAGGATGAATGAGATTTAATGAGATTTTCTTCCAAAGGGAATGAGTCCGAGGTTTCCAGCCTCCATTATAATGGCTTAATTTTCTGTGCTGTAGCAGTAAATGGGACTCGGAGAGGTTTTTATCCAACATTGTTTCAAAGAAGGTTGTAAGGAGAAAGAGGTGGTCAAGTCACCTTCTGATGGCTGGAGGTGGCACAATTGCCTCCATCCCAAGGAGCCCACAGGGACACAGGCTGTTCATTCTCCCAGGAAAGGGCCATATTCCATGGCTCAGTAGCATGTGGCATCGTGGCATGTCAATATTTGGCATTATGAGCAGCAAAAGTATTAATAATCCTAATAATTCATAACTGCTTGTTATGAATCAAAAGGGCTTTTACTGTTCAGCTCGTGGGCTTGGCAGGTCCATTTGTTTTCCATGTCCAGTGGTGGCCATTCCCAGGCCTGGAAAATGTGTAATTGGGCAGCAGTAACAAATTCACCCACGTGTAATAACATTACATTATCATTATTAGCCCAGGTTGCCCAGTCCAGGCATGGTCAGGTCCGTGGTGCTGTGTGAGGCTCCCAGATGGATTCAGCCATTGGATGGGTGACAAAATTGTGGCTTCAAAGGACATCACGTCCAAGGCCACCAGGACACTCAACCTCTTGGGGTGTTTGCTTTTTGTTCTGGTGCAGAGGGAGTTGAGCAGGGCCTGGAGCAGGAGGAATGAGAGCTCTGTGCCATCCAAGTTCCTGGATTTAGGGATGGTGCAAACCAGCAGCTCATCCGTACAGAGAAGGGTGGGAAGGGAGAGGGACAGATCTGTGGTTATGATCCTGGGTTCTGAACTCACATTTAGGATCAGGTTTGGCTCCTGGGACCAGCACTGCAGCATCCCTGGGGTGCCTACTGCTGCTGTCCCATGCTCCCCATCATTCCCTCGGGATTTCCTTGAGCAGGGCAGGAGGGAGAGGGGTGAGGTGCCAGGGCCAGCCCTGGTGCTGTGAGCAGGGTCCACCTGGGCTGCAGTTCTGGGGCTCTGTGTGTCTTTGCTGGCTGGGATGGGCAGCCCCAGATGTGGGGACAGGGCAGTGTGTGACCCCATGGCCTGGGGACAAGGGCTGGGCCAGTGAGGGGCTTCAGTGTGTGTTTGCATTTCCCAGGAGGTGCCCTAATGATGTTCAGGCACAGCAAACGTGGAAGGTGACGTTTGTTTAGCCAAAGCCTTTTCCACCTGCCCTGCCTGGAGGGACAGGACAAGGGGCAGTGGCTGCACACTGACAAAGGGCAGAGTTACTTTGATTATTAGGAAGAAATCCTTCCCTGTGAGGGTGGGCCCTGGCACAGGGTGCCCAGAGCAGCTGTGGCTGCCCCTGGATGTCTGGAAGTGCCCAAGGCCAGGTTGGACACTGGGGCTTGGAGCACCCTGGGACAGTGGAAGGTGTCCCTGCCATGGCAAGGGGTGACACTGGATGGGCTTTAAGGTCCTCTCCAACCCAAACCAGTCTGTGATTCTATAATAATGATAATAACTAAGCCAAGGTAGACCCCATCAGCTCTGCCAGCCAGACCAAGGTGGGCTCTGGACAGAAGGACAGCTCCTGGTGGGGGAACTGTGGAGCCCCTGGGTCCAGCCTCGGAGCAGGCTGAGGAGGAGGAGGAGGGCAGGAGGCTCCTTGGATCTGGAGGGCAGGTTTGGGGGCCAACCCCTAATTAAAACCTTTTGTATGAAGTTCCAAACCCTCCATTCCGTGCCTGGTTAATATTTAACAGCTGGGGCCGGAGATGGGAACACAACTGCGGCCGGGCTTTGGCTGCTGTGCCAGTTCTATTGCAATTGTTTAATTAGCCTGCAGAGCGAAAACAGGCCCGCGGATTACATATATACATATATATGTGTGTGTATATGTATGTATGTATGTGTGTGTCTATATAGATGTATGTGCATATATATATATGTATGTATATATATGTATGTATGTATGTGTCTATATAGATGTACGTGCATATATATATATGTATGTATGTATGTGTGTGTATATAAAATAATACGGGGACCCGCCCCTTTTTTCCCCCGACATGAAAACTTTTAGCAAAGTTTTTAGTGCCGGGGAGCAGCCCCCGCCCTGCAGCGCTGCGCTGGGCCGGGGAGATGCGCGGAGGATGCGCGGGCGCTGCGCGGGGCGGCGCAGGAAAAGGAGCGGCTGCGCCTTTAAGGCGGCGGAGCGGCGGCTGCGATCGCTTCCCTTTGATAAGGTCCTGGCAACTCTGTAGCCGCCGCGGGATGCCGCGAGAAGGGCGCAAAAAAAAAAAAAAAAAAAACCCCCCCCCCCCCCCCAAAAAAAAATAGAATAATTTGATTTTCCTCACCAGCGCTGATGTACGCACCCCTCCTGCCGCCCCCGCCCGCGCTGAAGCCGCCCCCGAGCACGCCTCGCACCGGGGATGCCCCGGGGGTGGGAGCACGGGGAGGGACAGGGGGTGCTCCTCCGGCTTCTCCCTCTTTCTCTTTTTAATTTTTAAAATTCTTTGAGGCCTGTTTTTGCCTCTTATTTTAAATTTTTTTTTTTCCTTTTTTTTTTTAAGTGCGCTACCGCCCTTGCAGGACCGCTCCGCCGGGCTGCGCTTTGATGCTGCGGGGGGAGCCCGGGGCGGGGGGCGGAGGGAGGAGGGGGGGGCGGGACCTGCGCTTTTGTATTTAAAATAAATAAAATAAATAACCAGGGGAGGGAGGGAGAGGAGGGAGGCGCGGATCGCAGTGGGCTCCTTCCCTCGCAGCCCCCCCCCCTCCCTTTACCCCCCTCTTTCCCCGATGCTCTCCGATGCGGTTGCACCGCCGGGGAGGAGAGGAGGAGGAGGAGGAGGAGGAAGGCGAGGAGGAGGAGGAGGAGGAAGGCCGGCGGGGGGAGCGGGTGCAGCCTGCGCGCTGCCGGCGGCGGGGAGCGGCGGGGCCGCGGGCGCGCAGCGAGCTCCGGCTCGGCGGTGAGTGCCAACTTCGGGGGCGGCGGCCGCCGCTTCTTCTGCTTGAGATACGGGCTTCTCCTGCTAATTTCAGTTATTTCCTTAATTTTTATATATATATTTTTAATATTTTTTCTGCGCGGTGCCCGCGCTGCCGCCCTCCGCGGGCGCGGAGCCTCCGCGCTGCCCGTGCCCGCCGGGGCTCGGCTGTTGCTCTCGGCTCGGAGTCGCTCCGGACTTTTTTCCCCTCTTTCCTCCCCCTCCGACCTCCCTCCTCCCAGCCCGTCGCCATTTCTGGAGCAGGTTTTTATTATTATTATTATTATTATTATTATTATTATTATTATTTTGCACGTCGGGAAGCGCGGGGCTGGGGGCTGCCCCCCTCCGACCCCCCCCTTCCCATTTATTGCCCCCTTTTCAAGAGCCGGGGTTGCTGTCCTCGGCTCCAGGGGGGATGCGGGGGGCCCGGGATGCCCCGCAGCGCCCAGGTACGGCCGCCTCGCCTTCACCCATCCCCGGGGGTGTTTTTTTGGGGAAGGGGGGGGTCCCTGCTCCAGCTTGATTCCCGCAGAGAAGCGCCCCACAATCGCTGCTGGCGGAGGGGGGACACACGGGACACACGCGGGTCGGGCAGGCGGGGGGAGCGGGGCTGGGGTGAGGGGCAAATGGAAACCAGATGCCGGGGCAGGGACGCCCCGAGCTGCCGAGGGCTGCGGGGGGGCCGCGCTGACACCCCCGCGCCGGCCCCGGCCCCGCTAAAAGTGCGCCGGGAGTTCAGCGGAGCGGATCTGATAGTCGCGATCGGGCTGGCGATAGAGCCGCGCTCCCTCTGCCCTGCCTCCCTCTCTCTCTCTCCTTTTCTTTCTTCCTTTTTTTTTTTTCCTTTTTTTTTTTTTTTTTTTTTGACTGTGAGGAGTTGAAAAGCCTGTTTACTTTTTGCCTTTGATGTTGGGAGGATCTGGTTTTGATTAGATCAATACTCCTTTTTTCTTCCCCCCCCTTTTTTTTTTTTTTTTTTTTTTCCCTTTGCAGAGAGGAGGCTCCGAGGATCCCCTGCTGACTCCAGGCAGAGGCAGGCAGAGGCACAAGGCAGCTCCTGAAGCAACTGGGAGCCCCTCTCCCCAGCGAGCTCCGGAGCCATGAGCAGCGCCGTGGTCCTCGCCCACCTCCCAGACCCCAGCAGCAGCTTCAGGGAAGACGCCCCCCGACCCCCTGTCCCGGGGGAGGAAGGAGAAGCACCATGCCCGCAACTCGGCAGCTCGTTTCTCCCCAAAAGCCAAAGCTTCAAGGCCATGCCGGTGCCTCCTGCCCCGCGGAGGAATGAGAACGGACTCGGGGAGCCGGAGGGCAGCGCGTCCCCAGACTCCCCTCTGGCCAGATGGACCAAATCCTTGCATTCCCTCTTGGGAGATCAAGATGGTGCCTATCTTTTTCGGACCTTTCTGGAAAGGGAAAAATGTGTGGATACCTTAGACTTCTGGTTTGCCTGCAATGGCTTCAGGCAGATGGACCTTAAGGATACCAAAACTTTGCGAGTAGCCAAAGCTATTTACAAAAGGTACATCGAGAACAACAGCATCGTCTCCAAGCAGCTCAAACCTGCTACCAAGACCTACATAAGGGACAGCATCAAGAAGCAGCAGATAGATTCCATCATGTTTGATCAGGCACAGACTGAGATTCAGACTGTGATGGAGGAAAATGCTTACCAGATGTTTTTAACTTCTGATATATACCTCGAATATGTACGGAGTGGAGGAGAGAATCCCGCTTACATGAACAGCAATGGACTGGGGAGCTTAAAAGTTGTCTGTGGCTATCTCCCGACCTTGAATGAAGAAGAGGAATGGAGCTGTGCAGACTTTAAAAATAAAATCTTGCCTTCGGTAGTTGGACTATCCAGCAAGACTTTGAGGGTTACAGCGAATGTCAGAGCCACAGAAACGATCGAGAACGGATACAGGTAAGGGAACCTCTGGAAACTGTGCTTTGTTTTAACTTTAAGGACTTTGAGAGTGTTTTTCAGAAGGTTGTTGGGGTGGAAATCGAGGGGAGGCAGGGCTTCCTGGAGGGCTGGGAGCACAGCTGCTTCCCCACACCTCCAAACACTGGAATTTGTGGGGTGTTGTCTGAGTGTGGGGTTTTTCCCCCCTCTACAGAGGAAAACAAGATCCTGTGCTCTGAAGCCCTATTGGCTCTTTCAGTTCTTTTATAGATCAAAAACTTCATAGCAACTATGTCCTCCGGACATACGTTAATTATTGGTTCAACTTTCAAACCTATTAAGAGCAGTAGTGGAGTGGATCATAGAGACACATGAATAATGTAACCTACCAGTTCCCCAACTCCACCATCAACCGGTGTTTAACGATGTTGGTTATGTGGGAAGCAATTGTGCGGTCGTGGAAGAGGAAATGTGTGCACTGACTGCATCAAACTCTGCAACTTGGGCAGAATCTGCTTTTATTTTGACTCTGTATGTGTGTGTGATGTGCAGCTTCTCCATGGCGTGGGGTGTTGGTGTCATGTCAGAGCCATCTAGGGTGGCTTCGAGCCAGTGCATACAGGAGGATACCTGAAACTTGAGTGTTTAGGGTGGTAGAGGCATTCCAGGTGTGGAGTAAAATAGATCTTTGGTAGGTCTTTGGTGCTGTGGTGTTGGCCATGAGCTCAGAGTTTAACTCGTTAAGGGCTGGTTGTCCCCACAGGGATGTGGGGATGTTGTGCAGTGACAGAGTGTCCTTGTGTCCTGGTCCTGGGATGCTTCTGCATTGCCAGACCCTTCTCTTTTGTTGGAAATATTGATGGCACAGCCGTGTGAGGGTGAGGAAGGTAAGAGCCATCTCGAAGTGCAGGGGGGGATGGGAAGGAGAGACTCTGATGAGCAAATGATGAGTTGTATAATCCTCTGAAAATGTATTCTTTCCTCTCCCCACCCTTGCCATAAATGTGGATTGTTGAATCAGGGCTGAGAGGAGAGGGCTCTGCTGCAGATGTGCGCTCTCCTCCGCCGGCCCGGCAGCCTGGGGGTTGGTATGGTGAGTGTTTGACATCTCGTTTACAGGAATTTTGAGAGTGTGTCTGTGATTCATGGACATCAAAGGGCATCAGGCTTCTCCCGGGGAGGCTTTGCTGGAGCGCTCCTCTCCTGCCCCCGGAGAGTTTCCAGCTGTTCGGGGCTGGCTGGTGCCGTGGGGGCTGGCAGGGTCCCCCGTGCCCCGGAGGGTGCTCCAGAGCCTCTGGTGCTCTCCCTGTGCCGGAGGCTGTCCTGCCAGCGGGGCGGGATGGAGGTGCTGGGCGTGGGGACAGAAGGGATGCTCTCCATCCCGGCGTGGCCTCTGGACCCTCCTGCCGGGGAGGGCAGCGCTGGCAGCTGCTCTGTGCAGGGCTTGGGCTTTGGGATCCTCATCTCGTGCCTGAGCGTTCCTGCCTGAGCATCTGCTGTGCTCCAGAACTTGGTTTGAACTGCTGCCCTTCGCTGGCTTTCCAGGAGGGGGATGTTTGATGCTTTCATCTCTGAGCCTTTGTTGGGATTCAGAGCTGGAAGGCTTGGCTGTATGTTCTACCAGAGCTGCAGGCCCTGCTAAACCCACATGTGCCTTGTCCAGGAGAGCTCTTGCAGCGCTGTAGCTGCTTGCCTGATTAGTGCTGGGCTTTTTTCCCTTTTCTTTTTTTCCCCCCCTCCTTTCTTTTCTTTTTTTGTCCAGGGATTAATGCAGCTTGCTCCTCACATGTCAGATCTACCCTCCTAGGACATTAGGTAGTGCGTTTTGCTTTGATCACCTTCTGTTGAATTTCCAGGAGCTTTTGCTCTCCATGGGGCCAAGGGATCTCAATGCAGAGAGAGAGGGGAGGTCAAGCTGAGATGCTGCTCAGTTCCTCCCGTTTGTGAAGCCACTTGTGCGTGCATGTGCTCGAAGCTGATGAGCATATGGATGGGTTATCTCTCATCACTCAGCATTTAGGATCGCAGCTAGGATTGGAGCTGAAGCTTGCACAAAGTCTTTCCTGGTGAGTGGCCAAACCACACCTCCCTCATGTGTGTGTTGGAATTAAGGAATTTCTGCTCGGTGTGCTCTGGTTTTGAAGGGCTGTGCAGGCTCTGGCCATTCTCTCCGGTGGGTTTCGATGTGATTATCCCAGCCAAAGCCCTGGTGAGCCCTGGGCTGAGCCCACCTGACAGTGGGAGCTCAGTGATCACAGGCCAGCCTGGTGTTTGCAGGGGACAGCACCTGGGAATGCCAGGGCACGGAGTCACGGCCAAACCCACGGCAAGCGGGAGACCACAGGAGCTGCACAAGTTGAAAGACTTTGTTTGGCCCCAGTGTCAGTGATGGACAGGAACAGGAGAAGTCAAGTGAAAACAGAGTTTGCACCTGGCTGGGGAGCAGGCGCTTGCAAACTGCTGGCTGTGTATTTGGAGCCCTAATACAGGGAATATTTTAAAAGCAGGACCTCCCTCTTGTCCTCCCAGGCGACTCCCCTCCCCTCTGGGCTGTGGCGTGGTTAAAACTGGCCTCCCCATGCTGCTGTGCTGGACCTGGCCCCATGCTCCAGGAATTCCAGCTATTATTTATACACACTTCTAAATTTATCACGCACGACTTTGTGTACACAGAGAGCTCCTCTTCCTTTGCTGTGCCGCCGGGGTAACGTGGGTTTCTTCAGCCCAAGGTGGACTCATCTGCCTCCCATTAGGCTCCAACATCAGTGGGACTGGCCTTGCTGGGGGAAGGCTGGGGCTTGTAGATGGCCTTCTGCCGGCTCCCAGTGCTTCCTGGCCTTTGAAAGGACCCGCTGGTGCAGCTCCTTGTGTGTGAAGTTATTGGAACCAAGTTTGGCTTCAATTATCAAAGTAAATGATGCCATTGTAAAGCTATGCTCCAAGCAGTGTTCTACAGTTAGAGCATGGAAGCTGTGATTAATATAGTTGTGTTAAAATATACTTTTTCTTTTCAGGTTTGTGCATGTGTGGTTTTTCTTGCCTTTTTAAAAAAGTGTTTTTAAACCCATGGTTGCCCAGTGATGTTTGTCCCAAGAAAATACTTAATGAGATGCAGTGCTGCCTCCAACTGCTCCTTGTACAGTTTTTCTCTCTCTCTGTAAATCTGTGGTTTGACCTGCCCAAGTGCTTTTAGAAATAAAAGCAATCTGACAATAAAAAACCCACCCTCCACACTCTGAAACGGCACCCTCATAAAGGGGATATGACCAGGAGCCCCCCTGAAATTTTCATGGCATTATAATACCTCTGATATGGCCATTGCCTAACATAGCAGAGGGAGAGAGAGAGTTACATGCTGTGTGTCATCGCATCAAGATAAGAATAGGCTGAGAAAGATCAGACATTCTCCTTGAAGCTCCAGAGCAACTGCTACCTGACAGCTGAAAACACTTTGCATATTGAGTTTGGAGCTGGGCTGTGTTTGTGTGTGCAGCATCTGTGGCAGGAGACCACCGCTTTCCCTGGAATTTAAAACCCTCGCAGGCAACTTGATGCATCTGGGTGCAATTACTGGAGTAAGGTGGTCAAATTAAAAAGGGGAAAAAAAAAATTCCAAAAACATTAAATGTAGCAAAACCAGCCCCCACTGGTTTTCTGAAAGGATGGGGGAGATTTCTGTGGGGCAGTGTTGGATGTGGAGCAGGGATGAGCACTTTAAAAATATGTCAGCTTTAGGGGTTGTTATTATTTTTTTTGTCCACGAGGTGTTGGTAGGTGAATGATGCTGCGGTGCTGCTGGGAAGATGAGTTAGTTCCGGCCACTTTCTCTAATTATATGTTTGGACACACCTCCCTCTCCCTGTGCCATACCCACATGGATCTGCTGCCTCCGCCCCCAGCTCAGCCTCTGCAGGAATCCTCCTGTGAGAACAGCGTGGCAAATCCACCCCTGGGTGTGACAGGGGTGACAGACACCTCCCAGCAAGGTGCTGGTCCTGTGCTGGGGAGCATCCCCACCCCTGAGCCTAACAGAGCATCCTGAGCCTTGTGCTCCTCAGGTGCACTCTCAGGAGCTGAGCTGGTTTCAAATCAAGTAGTGGGAAGAGCTGCATCCCTTACACTTTGACCCAAAAGCCCAGCAGGGCCCTAGGAAGGGTCTCTGGGACTGCACATCCCCCTGATCCAGAGCAGAAGACCCCATGGTTTTTAGAGGGACTTTCTTGTAGGAGCAGCAGGATAACTTTGCTTTCACCCACATGTGGAATTAATTTGTCTTTGAAGATTTAACTTCTTTCCTGTGGCATTCCTTACTATCTCATTTTTTCCCCGCTTCTTCTTCTTCTTCTTCCCAGATATATATTTTTTAACATCTTGATCTCCCCATCAGAAGTGCCTTGGCCTCCTTGGAAAGGAATGCAGCCCCGGCTGGGCTGAATACCTGCCTGCAGCCAGCCCCACGCTGCTCATACCAGAGAGGCCCATCTTCCCCACCAGCCTTCCCCCTCCTTTTCTCATTTTTTTCCCCTTCCTCTTATTTTTTAAAAACCTTAAGCCTTGCTCCTTCTTTTGGTGCTGGGGGAGGAGGGATGGGGTGATGGGGACACAGGGATGAGGATGGAGATTGAGAGCGGGGCAGTGGGAGGATGTTGCTGTCACTTAAACCCAGTTGGTCCCTCCAGCCCCAGGGGGCAGGGAGATGGAAAGCCCATTTAAAAAAACCTGCCGAGCCTGCTGGCACATTCCTTAGGCCCCCAAGTCCCGGGTAAGTGGCCCTAATTATTAAAATGAGCAGTCCTTATCAGATGACAAGGCCTTTTGCTTTGATATACAAAGGCAGAAGCTTAACAACCCCATCTTGCCCTGGAAGAGGAACAAAATGTGCACCTTAACATGCAGCTTCCAAACCTCCCTGCATAATCCCCTTATCACCTGCCAGGATATGTATATTGATCCTGGCTGGGAAGTTGGAGTGCTGGAGGCAGGGGGATGCCCAGGCCCCCCCAATGTGTGACCCTGCCATGGTGACCTGGCCCTGCTCCATCACAGCCTGTGTCACTGCCCATGAATTCTTCACAGAACTGCTCCTGGGTGCTCAGCTCAAACATCCAGGCCGGGCTTTAGGTTTGCTTTTCTGGGTGAAGCCAGAGGTGTTGGGGTCAGTAACCCACTAACATTAACACAATGTGCTGGCCTCTCCTCGTGTCCCCCATCCATCCTCCTCTTCCCTACCCAACTCTCTGCAAAAATACACGAGCAGGAGGTTCTCCTAAAAGCTGGGCCTTTTTGTTGTGTGTTTTTCTAGTGCCAGGAAGGTGGCATCCATCTTTGGGAGGCCGAGCCTGGGACAGCAGATCTCAGCCCTGACCTGTGCCATGGGAGTCCTGCCCCTGTCGATCCAGGCAGTTCTCCTGGTACAGGCAACAGAGATACCAAAAACTTGTGTTTCCAAAGGGATCGTAACCCTTGTCTTCAGAGCAGAACTAAGCATTGTTGACTGGTTCCTTGTGACTTTCAGTGGAACTCGAGCTGTGAACTTTTTGGACTTTTCCCTACTGGTGCGCTGACCTCAGCAGTGCAGTATCAAGCCTTAAGGACTGAGGTTTTTCAGGGTATCAAAGGATGCAGAGGCACTTCTGGGATTTTCTAGAGCACTTTAGAAGATGCTAAACGTCTATAAAGCTGTGCTGTGGGTGTGTTAGACAGTGTCCTGGCTTAGGCAGTGTGTGCTGGCTGGGATGCTTGGTTGGTTCTGAAGAGGTTGAGCGGGCGGTGAGTGTGGTTCCCATAAGGATGGTGCAGCCACGAAGGCCAAGACTGTTGTAACTGGGTTCCTGTTCTGCCTGTGCCAGGTCCTTCAAGAGGAACGACCCCGTTAACCCCTACCACGTGAACTCGGGCTATGTGTTCGCGCCGGCCACCAGCGCCAACGACAGCGAAATCTCCAGCGATGCCCTGACGGACGACTCCATGTCAATGACGGACAGCAGCGTGTGAGTACCTGCTGCTGGCCACCTTTCGGGGTGGGACACCTGTAAATCTGAGCTGATGCTCTGTGGGCATCACCCTGCTCGACCCAAAGGGGGGTGGGTGGCCCAAGCAGGGCATGGCAGCCTCTCGCTCTCTCCTGCCGCAGGTATCGGATGCAGGGAAATAATGAATCCCTCTCTTGCCATTTTGCAACTGCAGCTGAGCAAACACGTTCTGCACTGGCTCGTGGTGCTGCCTGACTAACCCAAGGAGTGAATGAATCTCCCTGAGCCTTTGTCTTAAGGCCAGGCTTCCTTAACTAGTTATCAGTCATCAAAGAGATTACTTCCTGTAGGAAGTACTTTCTGTAATTAACATTCGTCATTAATGTCAGAATGTGCATTAATAGGGCCAGTGACCTGAAGGGGCAAATAGCTGCTCATCTAGTGTGGCTGGGGCAGTCTTCAAAGAGCCATGTGGATGGATCTGCATGGATCAGGTGTGGGTGTTTCAGGAGCATACAGGCATGAGAGATGATGCTGTGGCTGAGCCCTGGAACTGCAGGATCTGCCTTCTCCTGGCTGCTGAGGAGTGTGCAGCTGGAGCAAGGCTTGACTGTCAGTTTGCTTGCTCCAGCAGGACAGAAATGGTGCTTCTGTTTCTGTAGAGGGGGCAGTGAGGCTCACTTAGTGCTCCTAAGGACCATTTTCTTCAGCTGAGCAGAAGGCAGATGTTGCTGTTTGTGTTTCATGATCTTCACTTAAGTGCTCTAGAAGAGCCCACCTGTAAGCAGAGTGCAGCATTGCTGGCCTTGCATCATGAAACTTCTCCAGTGTCTGTGTCAGAAATGTCCAGTGGTCCCTGTGTGCTCCTCAGAGAGATTTTCATGCTGGGTTTTTGAAGTCAACATTTATGAAGATGCACAACAGAAAACAGGATTTACCAAAAATCCTCAATGCATAAACAAAAAGCCCTTTTTTATTTTTATTTTTTTAACGCACATGTGTGTTTTGAACTGATATTACGGAAAAAATAGTTTGTTGTCCCAGCAGATTCCCTTATTGAACAATATTGGCATTAAATAAAAGAGCTGAATCATAGGGTGACTTCTTTATTTCTTCTTACTGGCTCTGGTTGTATGTGATCATGTGTCAACAGAGCATTCATTGGGTTAGTCATTTCTGGACCAGTGTAGGGTCACTTGGGATTCACAGGGCTAGGATTATACCCTCTCTTCACAGCAATGCCAATTGTAGGCCTTATACAGATGAGAGCACTGAGTGAGAAATAAAGTGCATGGTGGATGAAAGGCTTAACTGAATCGCTTTCAGCCCATTGTTAGTCCAGGGGAGCTTAGCGGGGATGAGAGGGCAGCAGCCCGCTTTGAAATTTGCTTGAACAAGTGAATAGGAGCTCCCCATAAAGCAGCGCCTGAAAGGAGCTGCCTGTTTTTTCCTGCTGTAACAATGGGCTGTGCAGGCTGTGAGAGTTTGGGGAAGCTTGGCTGATTAAACTGCCCGCAGCTCCAGGCTGGGGGGCGGCAGGGAGGCCCGGGGGTGGCAGAGGGAGATTTCCTGCAGCACCAGCACCGGTTTTTGGGTGCTGGTTTTGGGTGCTGTTTTTGGGTGCTGTTTTTTTGGGCCACTAGCGCTCCAGCCTTGGGCCCTGGCGCTCTTGGGAGTGGGAGAGCTAAAGTGGCAATTCTGGAGGCTGGGCTGAAAGTTGAGGCTGATGTAAAACTTCCTTTGCAGAGGAGGAGGGCTGCTGCCAGCATCTCTGTACAACAGCTGGGATTTGAGGGCGCTGCTGGCACTGGTGCTGCTGGAAGCTGGAGGTGTTGGGGGCACAAACCCACCCAGGTGCTCTCAGCCTGTCAGGTTTTATCCCCCTGGAATGGGGGATCTTGTTCAGTTCCAGCAGCACAAATGCAAATTAGTTCTTTTGGCTCATATTGGTATCAACTGAAGAGGAAAAACTTGTTCTGGAAAAGTCTGTCAGACATAGCAGTGAAGTGAGTTTGGAGCTTTCTTTTTTTTTTTTTTTTTTTTTTAATAAACCTAAGTCTGAACTGCACTGGGATTAGGAGAAATCTCCAAATAATGCATAATCTGCCTTTTTTTTTATTCCAGAAGCCAGGGATCAGTCTGTCCCTATATATTTTGTAATAGCCACAAAACATCATGCAAATTTCTATTTCCATTTCTTGATTGGGGGGGGGGGGGGAGGAAAGGGGATTTTTTTTTTTTTATTTGCTTATATCTTATTTATGGATTTACTTTGGACACAGGGGAATGCTGCTGAGCAAACTTCAAATATTACCTTATCTTACAAACCAGGCTTTTGATGTTGGCAAGATCAGAGGCTTGTTTCAGAGCCGTTGCCAAATGAAGATGGGAGTGAATGCATATGCGCATGAGTCTGATATTTCAAAGCAGCAGTAAAACTACATTCAGGTTAGGTCAGGCACATCTGAGTCAAAAGGCTAAGATAATTGGCTCAGCTTAAATGGCAGCTGACTGGGTAGAAGACTTCAAACTAGTGTTTCCCCCAGAAACAGATTGGCTTAGCCCCAGCCTGGTTAGCTGAAATGTTTATAATTAAACTCTACTATTTAGTGCTTCAACTCTGTAGCTCTTCAGCCTGCAGCTTTTAGTGGCCAAGAAAGTGAGTGCAAATGTTGGCTGTTGGAGCAGGGGGAGAGATGGCACCTGGAGAGCTGGGGTTAACCCTTGGCCTGCCCCAAAACATCAGGCCAAGTTCAGCCCTTTAGTTTCAAAGGTACTTTCCCCTGCTTGGGGGAGCTGCTGCAGCATCAGGGCTCCCCCTGCCCCCCATATCTCTTGAGGTGGCTCCAGCTTCATCCATCTGTCCCTCCTGCAGTCAGGGGTCACTCATTGGTCACCCTTCTACCCTGGCCTTGTCCATTTTCCCTCCCATTTCTAGGAAAGGGTGTAGATAGCACTCAGCAAAGTGGCTGCTAACGTCCCTTCCCATTCCCCAGGCTGACTTCCCCAAGCTGCTCCACTGCCTTCCCATCCTAGAGAAATACCTCTGAGTTTTTTAAATTCTTTGTTTTTTAAATTCTGCACGTTGTTACAAGTTGCAGAACTCTTCTGCCAAGGCAGGGCTGTGGAAGCAGGGAGCTGGGGGTATAATGTGGAGCTCTCTGCTGTAACCAGAGGAATTTTAGGGGGAAGGAGCAGTTCTTGTATCAGCCTGGACGAGGGCAAATCTTGAAGAGAGGAACCCATGCTGTTGGGTCAGCATTGCTTTTCCTTTAGAAGTAAGCTCCATGGCCTGTCCCAGGAGTGTCCCTTTGGGCAGAGAGGGTCCCTGTGGAGCTGGGAGCTTGGGGATGCCCCACATCTTGTGCTTGCAGGGCTGGAGGGAGGTGGGGAATGCAGGAGGGCTGCAGGGCCCCTGGCTGTGTCCTTGTGGTGGACACTCAGCCCTTCAGCTGCTTCCCTGCTCCTCCCCATCTGGCCTCTTGGACTTCATGGACAGAGGACACCTCCTTTTCCACAGTGTGTTAATGGGATTCATCCCATGGGTTCATGTGCTCATGCTGACATTCTTACTTACCTCTGAAATGCCTGTTGTACTGGGCATTCCCTGTGCTGGAAGTCTTCCCTAAGAGACTCTTGTCATGGGAAGCCCCAGTTAACAAAACACATGAAGGTACAGATGGTTTTGTCTTCACCTTAGGTGTGCTTTTCCCCCATCCTTCCCTAAAATAAGACATGTCATGTGCCCCAAGCCCCATTGCCCCATAGGTTTGTGGAGCAGAAATGCTTCATGGAGCAGTGGAGAGGTGCTTGGTGGCCACCAGTGGCTGTGTTCTGTGCTGGGCTGCTGCTCTAGAAAGCTCCTGGAGCCCTGTGTTGTGCAATGGGGACTTGGACAATCAGCTCCTTTCACTTTCCATGTCACATGTGCTCAAAAACTGTGTCTAGAGGAGGTGCTCATCTTGTGCCATCAAGGGCCTCCCAGCATGCTTGTTTTTATTATAAAGATTTTTCCAAGTTTATTAAGATGGGATTGTTCTGATCCTTCACTCCAGGCTTTGCAGCTTAGTCTTGCTCATTAATGGCAACTGAAGGCTGTGGCCAAGAGCATCACAAAGCTCTGCCATCGCCTGCTTTGAGCTTTGGGTGGTGCATCTGATCATGCTCCTCCAGAGGAGGGACATGGTGTCTCTGGGAAGGTGTTCTGGTGTGTGCCCACCATCCCTGTGGCCACGGGAGGGGACACACAGGGACACTGTGCCACGCTGGCTCCTCTGGCAGCAGCGTGGGGCCAGAGCTGTCTGCTCCTCCTTGGGCTGCAGCTATTTTCTCCTCTCAGGAGATGACTCAGGTGTGGGGGCAGGTGGATGAAAGGAAGGCACTGGAGATCAAGGTTCTTCAGGCAGTCTGAGGGAAGTGGTGGAATTAGACATTCAGGATCTCCAGGCATGCTCTTCCGGCTGGCCCCGCTGTCTGTGCAGGGCCCTTTCATCCTCACTGGGGTGATTTTTTGCGTGGCTGGGTGAAGATGCCCTGTGGTGCCTGGAGTGGGATGTGCAGGGGGCTGTTCCCACTGAGGAGCCCTGAGCTCCTGGCCTGGCCTCTCCTCGTGGCTTCCTGGCAGGAGCTGGGCTGGCTGTGGGCAGCAGTGCCCTGTCCAGAGACATGTTCACACCTCCAGGTGTCCTGCACTGGCCAGCCTCAGGGCAAGGGAAACATCCTGGATCTTAAATGGACTAGAGATGGGGAGCAGCCTCTGGATGGCCATCCATCCTCAGCCTGCTCCTTGTTTCCACTGTGCCAGCAGTTCATGGGGTGTTCCAGAGCTTGAGGAACGTTGTGGTCCTAGAGAGCGTAATTGGATGGGGAAAAACTTAAAATTAAAGGTCAGAAGCAGAAATGTGGTGGTGGAAGGGCCTTGGAAGTGAAGTTGATGGGATCTTTGGACGTGTGCCCGTGTGGAGTTGCCTTCAGCTTTTCAGCTTTTGCTTAATTACTGCACATCCATGTGCATCCTTTGGTGACACAGGCACTTCCCACACCGCTGGATATTTGAGGCTTCGGGTGCCATCCAGAGGGCTCAGCACCTCTGGGAACGAGGGCCTGCAGCTGCCTGGGTGGTTCCAGAGGGGATGGAGAAGTGTGTCAGAGCATGGGGACAGCCCCAGCTGACCGTGGCCTCTCTTCCATGTGCAGAGATGGGATCCCCCCGTACAGAATTGGGAGCAAGAAGCAGCTCCAGCGGGAGATGCACCGCAGCGTCAAGGCCAACGGTCAAGTTTCTCTACCTCATTTTCCGGTGAGTCCAGGCCCCAGGATGGAGCTCAAGGGTCTGGTGGGCCATGGGAAAGGTTGGGGCTGGGGACAGGCACACGTGGAGGGAAGGGAGCAGGGGAGGAGAGCATTTCTATGCCAGGGTGATGCTGGAGGAGAGGTGCTGCTGGGTGTTGGGCAGGAGCCATGTGCTCTCAGCATCAGTCCAAAACCCTGCTTGTGCATGGTCACATCTTGGTACTTCCTGAAACCAGCAGCTAATTAGGAGTTTTCAGGGGCACTGAATTTGCCTTGTTGGTGAAATCCCAAGTGGAGATGTCCCAGTTGGGTCTAGTGGGAGCCTTGGCTCTGGCCACCACCCTGACACTGCTGTGGTGCCGAGCAAGGCTTGGCCTGGTGTGCATTGGTGTGAGAGCTGGGTGTCTGTGAGCAACCAGGATCTCCCAAAACAGAGAATTGGCAGCACATCCATGCCTGGCTTTGAGGGGATCCGATGCGTGGTGCTGCCCTGCTCTTCAAAATTAACTCGCTGACTTGCTAATTCAGTTGACTTGCAGCCTCTCGGTTCCTGCAGTGAATAAACTGTTTACACAGACAAGTATAAACTTATCTTGTCTTGAGATTAATATGCTAAAATTCCTCTTTCTGCTGTCTTAAGCAGCAAGAAGTCATAGATGATATTTCTGGTGGAAGGTGGGGGGGTGGTTTATGTGGTTTTTCTTTCTGGTATTTTTTTTTCCCCTTCCTTCCTAAAGAAAGTTCTATAGCCTGAGCTTGTAAATTAGATTATTTTGTCCCAGGGCGTGCAAATCGACTTTCTCTGTAAGGCAGTGCTTTGATCAGGGACTGAATAGAGCCAGCTTGTGTAAGAGTGACAATTTCCAGCAGAGTGGCCTTTTTCTACCCTCACATCATTTCTGGAGCTAAGTGGTTGCCGGAGAGAGGCCCCACCTCATCTGGTGGGTAGTATGTGAAAGAGTTGGCAGTTCAGCTTTCTGCTTTCGGGGGGGGACGACAGAGGGAGAGTGGGGTGTGTGGGGATGGCAGGAGGGAGGGCAGAGTCAAGTGGGTGGTTTCTTTTTCCTCCTCTTTTTTTTTTTTCCTTTCCTCCCCTTTTCCTGCCATGTTTGCTTCTTTTGGCAGAAATTCGCATTTTGCCTTTTTATATTCTGCACTTGATTTGGAGATGTTCCCTTTTTCCCTTGATAGATCTGCTTGAGGCAGCCAAGCTCAGCAGTGTAGCACCGCTAGCCTGCAGCAGCTTTCTTCATTTTCTGTACAAAGAGATGGAGGGGGGGGGAAGAGATCTAGGACACTGTTGAGACAACACTACCTCAAAGGTGCCCAGTGTGTAGCCAGGAAATAAATTACCAGCACTTCTCTGATCTGCAACCGTTTGACTTCTTTTTTTTTTTTCTTTTTTTTTTCCCCCCCTCCTTTCCCTTTTTCTCCCCCATCTTATTTTTTTTAATTTCCAACTCCTTTCTGTTTATACTCACTTTATTCCTTTAGTTAAAGTCTCTCTCCCTCCCACCTCAGAGGTTTTTTTTTTTTTTTTTTTTTTTTGATGTTTGACAACAGTCTTTGAAGATTTTCTACTTCAGAGTAGCTACTGATGGGCTGGTTGTACTACAGAGAGAACAAGCGGGGTTCCTCAGAGTGCGACCAACTGCTCCTGCCGAAGGCAAACGCTGGTGGGGAGGATGTCACTCCATGAGGCCACAGCACTAGCTCATAAAAATCCAGAGCAGACCATGCCTAGTTGCGGTCGTCTTTTCATCCAAACATGGAGACACAACAAGCGTAGCGGGGCCGGCGATGCCGCAGCGGCCGAGCGCCCGCGCCCCGCGCCGCCCGCTAAACCTTGCCTTGTGCCTTCTGTCCCCGCTCCTTGTAGAGGACACACCGGCTTCCCAAGGAGATGACCCCGGTGGAGCCAGCTGCCTTCGCCGCCGAGCTCATTTCCCGGCTGGAGAAGCTGAAGCTGGAGCAGGAGACCATGGACTGTCTGGAGGAGAGGCTGCAGCAGATCAAGGAGGTAGGATTAGCGCTGCCAGCTCCGCGTGCCACCCGGCATGGCTGGTGGGAGGGGGTCGTTCCCTGCCGGTGGGGCGGTGGGAGGGGGGGACATCCCTGCGTGTGCCTCGCCAGCTCCCGGCCCCTTTCCGTTCATCCCCTGCCATCCCACCCCTTGTCTGGCAGGACGAGGAGAAGGAAGGCGCCGAGCTCCCCGCCAGCCTGCAGAGCAGCCGGGACGTGGCCAACCCCCAGCACCCCCAGCACCCGCTGTCGCTCCTGCCCTCGGGCAGCTACGAGGAGGACCCGCAGGCCATCCTGGACGAGCACCTGTCCCGCGTGCTCAAGACCCCCGGCTGCCAATCGCCCGGCGTGGGCCGGCACAGCCCCCGCGCCCGCTCGCCCGACCGCCTGCCCACGGGCAAGCTGCCGCCCGGCACGGCCTCGCTGGCCGCCTGCGCCCTGCTGGGCAAGGGCTTCATCACCAAGCAGACCACCAAGCACGTCCACCACCACTACATCCACCACCACACCGTGCCCAAGACGAAGGAGCAGATCGAGGCCGAGGCGGCGCAGCGGGTGCAGTGCTGCTGCCCGGCGGGCGGCGACTACTACTGCTACCCCAAGTGCAAGGGCCACCCCAAAAACACTGACCCCCCTCTGTCTCCGCTGGAACCCTTCGGGTAAGTCACCAGCACCTCCATCACACCCGCCCCAAGCCGCCACCCTCGTCAATGGGGATGGGAGCTAACCATGGGCTCGTGTCCCTTTTTGCCACCAGCAGGACGGGGACGCTGCTGAAGAGGCCGGGCCGAGGGGTGGACAGCGTGGCCCCGGTGGCCGGGGACGGGGGCCTGCCTGGCCCTGCTGGGGTGCAGCTCCCAGGGGGCGAAGCGGATCGGGCACAGAACGTCTGGCAGTGGATGCTGGAGAGCGAGAGACAAAATAAGCACAAGACCCATAGGTAAATACGCAGCTGTCTACAGCAATATCGCTCCCGGTAAATATTTATATATTACATGGGCTGTCTATTTTTACAATCGCTAAAAACAAATGAGACTCTTTGCTCCTCCGGTTTAATATAAAAGCTGTTCCGCAGAACCAGAAAAACCACAAAAATGTCATGTTTTTGGCAATAAACCTCCTTTCATGTTATGACAGACTTTTGAGAGGGAGCGAGCAGAATAGGAGCTGCTATTAAAGTCATATTTTCCAGCTTTTCTAACCCGACTTCTTCCCTTCCCCAAGCACACAAAGCACAAAGAAGGCCTACAGCTCCGACTGCGCCAAGGGGGCCCCCGGCCGCCACCACCCGTGGGGGACGGGCAGCCACCCCCGCGGGGCACAGCCCGCACACCCCTTCGTGCAGGACCCCGCCATGCCCCCGCTGACGCCCCCCAACACCCTGGCCCAGCTGGAGGAAGCGTGTCGCCGCCTGGCCGAGGTCTCCAAGCCACAGAAGCCACGGTAACGGCCACGGCAAGGAGGGTTTGTCCCCACCGTGGGGACAGATGGAGCTGGGGGAGGTTGGATGTGGATGTGGATGTGGATGTGGATGTGGATGTGGATGTGGATGTGGATGTGGATGTGGATGTGTCCTGCTCATCCAGGCACAGGGACAGCCATGGGGACAGGTGACAGCCTCCTGGAGGATGAGCCTCCGTGTTCCAACCCCACCCTGCACCAGCATGAATAGTTGGAATCCGAGGCTGTTACTTCCACTCTTTTGATGGCTGTAATTTGCCCGTTTTTCCTCTGGGACAGGCTCCAGCTACATACCAAGTGGGGAATTGGACTGGTTATCGTTCATTTGGGTATGGAAGGATAAATTAGCCCACAGCATTTTTAATTCTCCCTTTGATTGTTTACAACATGTGAGGCTTGATACAAAGAGCGAACTTAACGACCCACAGGAGACTTCAATTAAGAAGATTGTATTTCAACAATTTTTTTTCTCAAAGTTGTTTTTTCTCTTTTTTTTTTTTTTTTTTTTTCCCCCACTTGCTTTCCCCCTCTCCACTTCAGATGTTCAACCTCAAATCAGCAGAGGGACCGAAACCACTCCGCTGCCATTCAGGGGGGAAGCTCCCCTTTCTGCAATGCAAGTCTGATGACAGAAGAGTGAGTATTGCACGTGCAGAAAAGGATTGGGAAATAAATACATATATATATATATATATATATATCTCATAATTATATTTTCATTAAATGGATTGTGCTTTGAAAGGAGAGGAAATTCTTATATCTGAAATTTTGCCTTTCAAACATTCTTCTTAAAGAAAGAACAAAACATTTTCAAATCTTGTCTCTGGCTCTTTTTAACTTGCATTCCTGTAAAGTGGACAAAGATTGGATTAGTCTAATTACAGGATGGTTCTTTTAACAAGAAATCTGCTACAGAGAGGTCTAAAATGGCCTAAATAATTAAAGTTTTCTTTCTTACCCTCTTCATCTTAAGCAATGAGTAATGTTTGAAGTCCAGACTGAGCCACCTGACTAGAGCCTTTCATTTTTAATTGGTTGACCTTAAGTCCACCAGCTGTCTTTGCTAGCAGCTTTTTTTTCTGAAACCACTCTACAAAGACTTAGAACAAATTAGGAAGACTAAATTACTGCGGACTAACACTTTGTGACCTTTTGACATGCTAAGTGTACATTGCCTCAGAAGCAGTTGTAGATTTGGCTGCATGGTATTCACTAGAGTGTTGCCATTTTGCTGGGTAATATTGTTTTAATTATTCTTTAAGAAGCGTTGCTTGGGTGCAAATGGCAGAATCCAGTTAATTTTATCCTCACTGGGAAAAATAAGATTACCTGGATGCTTGAGATGAAGCATCTTGGCAAGGGGTTTGCTTTGGGGCCAGGTGGTTGCAGGTGGGTTTGGGCATGAGGAAGAAGCTTGGGAGATGATTTGTGTGAGGGCAGATGAAAAGAGCCTTTAAAATCCTGGGGGTGCAGTCCTGGAGCTCACTGGGGAGAGTGAGCCCAACTTCCATCCCTCAGCTCCCCCTCTGCCATGCCATGATTCCAAGGGGGAATGGCTTCAAGCTGGAGGAGGCTGGATTTAGGTTGGATATTAGGAAGGAATTGTTTCCTGTGAGGGTGGGGAGGCCCTGGCACAGGTTTTCCAGAGAATCTGTGGCTGCCTCATCCCTGAGAGTGTCCAGGGCCAGGTTGGACAGGGCTTGGAGTACCCAGGGACAGTGGAAGGTGTCCCTGCCCGTGGCAGGAGGTTGAAACTGGATGATCTTTAAGGTCTCTCCCAACCCAAACCATGCCATGATTCCCACTGTGGAAATCCAGCAAAGGGCTGTGCAAACACATCCCAGCAAATTCCCAGGCAGCACAGGAATATCAGATTTTCAAGTCACACCCAGGGTATTTTTGACAGCATTCACCAGCTCCACTGCTGACTGGAGTGAGGTGAAACAGCCTGTCTTCAAATGGAAAAATAGAAGATTTTGTGTGTGTTTTCTGTTTTGCAGTCACAAAGAGCCAAAGAAACTGCCAGTTGTTCACACCTCTCAGTCTGGTGAGCTGGTTGTCACCTATTTTTTTTGCGGAGAAGAAATTCCCTACAGGAGGATGTTAAAGGCCCAGAGCCTGACACTTGGGCACTTTAAAGAACAGCTGAGCAAAAAGGGAAATTACAGGTAAGAATGTGTGATTTGTTTGTTCTGTAGGGTGTTACAACAAGTCAAAAGAATTAGCAGATATTTTGCGGGGCTGCTGCAGTGACACTTCGGATTTTCAGAGGCTGTGGATCTTCTTAGTGTCTTCCCACTCAAAGCAGGAGCAACGTGGAGATGCAGAGAAGTGCCTTGGCTGCAGGGCCACCTCTTCCCTTCCTCCCCAACCTTTTCCCAGTTGCATTAGGACTTGTGCTCCAGCCCTTCTCCAAAAAGCTTCAATACCAGGGAAGTCTGGGATGGCTTTGTGGCAAAGGCATGGAGCAGTGAGATTCAGATTCCAAACTGGGGTCAGTGTTCATTTGGTGCTGGCCTCATGCTTTTCCTACTGTTTAATTATTTATTTTTTGATTATTTTTTGCAATGGTGTGGCCATAAATGGGGTCAGTGATGGGCTGGGATGATGCTGCTGAGGGACATGGAGATGGAGATTGCTCTCTTTCCTCTTTATTAGAGGGGAAAAAAACCTCTGCCCTGCAGGTAAAGCTCCACCAGCAATACCCAGTTCTTCCTCAGAAACACCAACAAACCCTGCTGGTCTGGTTTCTAGCTCCCATCTCCCAGTTTAACCAGTTTGCTGCTTCCTCTGCTCAGTTTGCTGCCTCTGCTCAGCTATGGCAATAGCTTCACATTGCCTCTTTTTGGCTGCCCTTTCCCAGTGGATCTGGGCACTCTTGGGATGCTCTGTTGGCCACTTCTCCTGCAGGGTGAGCAGGAGAGGGACATTTTTTTTTTAAATTTGCACTGAATTTGGTGTGCTTCAGAGAGCTGGGTGTCTTGCCCTGTAACTGGCAGCCTCTGATTTAACCTGCAAATGGTCATTTTGGTTTGGTACGAGGAATTCCCAGCTTGCTGCCCCATCACTGGCCTCTCTCTAGGTGAGGAAAGTCCACCTGTACAGGCCAGGGGTTGGTGACCCTGGGCACTCTCAGGCTGGGGGATGTCAAGCTGGGATCTCTCTGTGGGTCTTGCAGAGTGGGGCTGAAATATTCCAGTTTCTCTCCAAACCATCTTTGCAGCCCACCCAGCTGCTGTTGGATGGCACCAACCTGCCAGTGCACCCAGCCTGGACACTCTGTAGGATAGTCCCTGGGCTTCTGGCACCCTTGTGTCATTTTCCAGCCCCTAAAGCCTGTCCCACTGTGCTCCTCTTTATTTGCAGAACAATTTCCTTGGCCTCACCACTGCTCTGCCATTGTCCAGTGGCTGTGTAGTCCCAACCCCCTAAAAAAAACCCCAACTTTTTTTAATGTTTGTTGGTTTTCTGTGAGATTTTTCATGTCATGCCCAAGTGGAAGACTAGTCTCCTAAAACCTCTGTGGCCCAAAAGCCCCTCCAGGTGCAATTATTTGTGCCTTGTCGGACTGTAATTACTTTAGAAAATGTTTTTAAGTGAGTGACAAGGATGAAACAACGTTTTGCTTAGATCTCACCCCTTTACACCTGGGTAAAGACAATACAGAAATTTATAAAAGGAACTTGGGTACGTGCCCAGTATTTTATCTTGCACAGACACAAGGTGAAACTAATTACACAAATGTGTGTACCTCCAGGGAATCATTTTGATCTAAGCTTTGACTTTTGGCTGGACTTTGAGTGAAACTGCGGGTGACCTTCAGGGGAGAGGTCCGCAGTGCCCGGAGTAGCGTGTGTGTTACGGGGAGGCACTAACTAGGCTGCTTTGGTCACATCTGGCATTGATTTCTTTTTAAGGCACATTTAATAAGCATGTCTTTGAAGCCCTTGCCTTTCATTTAATGCACAAAGACATGCAGAAATGCTCCACTCTCCAAATTCTTTATTGATTGGATCAGTTTGCGAGGCGGGTACCTCGGGCTCCCGCGATGCCAGAGCCCCGCCGGGGAAGCGCTGCCTTGGCTTTCCACACCTCCCCCCCGCAAAAAAAAAAAAAAAAAAAAAAAATTAAAAAAGGAATTAAGCAGTGATTTAATACTGATGGCGTTAACGAAAAACAAACATACACGCACAGAAAAAAAAAGTGGGTGGTGTTGGGTAATCTGGGGATGGCAGTGGTTCAAAACAGAGCTGCAAGGCTGGGCCCGCGTGCCTCGATTGGTGCCAGATGTCCCAAAAAATAAAATTAAAAAAAAAAAAAGAAAAAAAAAGGAGCAAAGCTTGCCACATAAAATATGTTTCAATGGAAAGCCCATTGCTGAGCAAATAAGAGCGGAGTGACTTGTTTGAAGATGTTGTGGGGGTGGATTTTTTTTTTTCTTTTTGCTTTTGCCTCCTCCTTTTCTTATTTTTCCCCGTTTCTCTGTGAAATAAGGTTGTAATTATGTAAAAGGTCATAGCGTGTTTTCTCAAATAAAAATTTTGTAAACACAGCCAGGGCTTGGGCTTGGGGAGGAAGTTCTTGGGAAGAGTGGCTGTTATCTGGACAGGGATGAGGAAAGGGAAAGTTCTTTGTAATTCATTCAAACTTTCCTTGGGTTTTTTGGGTTTGTTTCAAGGCTGCTGTCCTGGGGAATTGTGGCCTTGACCTACAGCATGGAAGTTGGTGGGAGTTGGGCCATTGACTTCCATGAGTGCAGGCTCTGAAGGACTCAAATAATGTGTTTTTTCCTTGCTGAGACATTAAAGATGCAACATGTGTCACTTCTGCTTGGAATGACTTCACAAAAATACATCCTAACCATACCTGGACTAATTGGAGGTGGTTTCATCTCTTTGACTGAAAAGAGGGATCTTTCATCCCCCTACCAAAACAATTTTAATGTCCCTGAAAATAAAGAGACTTGCAGGGCGATGTGACTATTTCAAAAATGCATCATAAAACAAGTCACCAAATAAAAATGTCAGATTCCAAGGCCCTGCTGTGGCTCTTCCAGTTTTAGCAGTAAAAGTGAGCTTCATTTGATTTCCTTTGCCATCCTCCAGAAAATCATAATTACAAACCCCTTTCTCCCTGACAAACATCTGCCAACCCAAGTTGTCTGGAAACTACAGGGGCGGGGTTAATTTTTTTTTTTTTTAATATATATATATTTTTTTATATATATTTTTTTAATAGATTTTTTTTTTCTTTGCAATCCATCTGCTGGAATATTTTCCACCCCTGGCAATCAGATGGGCAAAGCCCTTTTCCAAGGGAAAGCAGGCATCTCCAAGGAGGTGTTCGGCGGCAGACGGACAGACTCCCTAAATGCTACCCCTCTGAATGGAAGCCCTTCATTTGTGCATATGCAATTAAGCAGCCTTAGAAGGAAGAAAGCTCCAAACGGGATAAAAGGAACCTTTAATCAAGAAGCTGAACGGTCTAATTCAGGATAATAGAGGGGTCCTTACTGTTTGACACAGGAGGGGTGGGGGTGCTTTTTGTCTCTGGAGCGTTGGCTTCATGATCTAACGACCCGGAGCAAAAGAGCAGGAATGCAGGACACTGCTACTTGACCTCCCCGTGTCACAGCCCAGGGGCTGGACCAGGCTCTCTCAGAATGCTCCTGAGCCTCGGGAAGCAGAGGCAGGAGTTTGTGTCCCTTAGCTTGGACCCGGGAATGGGGTTGTTCCAAGTCTGGGGTGTTTTTTCCAGCGGGAACACCGCAGAGTTTCAGCTCCTGCGTTGCAGGAAGCTGGGATGGTTTGCTTTTCATCCATCCTTTTAATAACAGTTGCTAATTTTAATGTTGGGCTTCAGCTCTGAAACGAGAAAACACATGAAAGAAAGAAGGTGGGGAGAGAGGGGAACCTTAAGAATGCTTGGCTTTGAAATCCTATTTATTTATTTTTAAATGAGATATTTGACCAGAAATCACTGCGCTTTATAATTTTCTTTATGGCTGGGGATACCCACTGCCAGTGTGTGTAATCTACTCACTGGAGAAGCTGTTGTCACCCCTGAGGAGCATTCACAGCCCTGCTCCTTCCATCCCACCACATCCCTGCAGCCCTGGGGATGCTTTCAAGTCACCAGAGCTGATCACCCCAGAGGTGTTCCTGGAGGAGCATCCTCAGGAGGGAGAAATGGGAAACATCGTGGTTATAAAAGAACCAGCAAAGCATCCTTTGCCTTTTTACCTTTTGATTTTATTTATTTATTTATTTATTTTTCTTAACCCGTGTTTTAATTCTCTTTGCCACAGATACTACTTCAAAAAGGCCAGCGACGAGTTCGACTGCGGCGCCGTGTTTGAGGAGGTTTGGGAAGATGAAACCATCCTGCCCATGTACGAGGGAAGGATCCTGGGGAAGGTGGAAAGGATTGATTGATGCCATCTGTGTTTCTCAAGAAAACTTCACCTAGGAAAGTCTTTGGACACACAGCAGTAGTGATGACAAGGAAAGAGGAAAAAAACAAAAAAAACAACACTCTGAAGGAAAAGTTTTGAACCAATGAAGAAAAAAAGTGAAGTCTACGAAGACTTTGCTGAATTAGCCTTAGAGGAAAAAAATGGCATTTATTATTCATGAGTTGGGTACTGAGATGATAAAAACCCTGGACTATTTATTAGAAACATGACCACTGTTGGCTATTGGAGATGCAGACCGTGTTTGAGAGACTTCCATACATAATATATGATTTCCTGGGGATCTGAAATCTATGGACTAAGAGAAACTGTGTATAGCTTACCTTAACAGTAATCCTTATTGATATTTATTGAACAGTCTGTTTTCCCTTAAGTCCAGTTTTTGGATATGCTGCTTTAACAATGGAGAAGAGAGGGGCTGGGAAGTGGGGTGAGGGGAGGAAGGATTATTTTATTTTTTTACATTTTTCCCAGTATCTAATATTTTGTTTTATTTTTTATTATTTTTTTTTTTTTTTTTTTGAAAGGGGAGGAGGGAAGGAGTGAGGTCGTGCCCAGTATTTCTCCAAGTGAAGATAAAAACTTTCCTAAAGAAATAATATTAATAATAATAATAATAATAATTAATAATAAAAGCCGAAATAAAAATCCATTCATCTAGAGACCAGTGCATTTTAATCTATGCTGCTCTAATTTGAAATAAAGGTCTTAAGCATTATAACTGTATTTAGATGCAATATAACAACAACAGCAACAGGTGATTTTGTCCATGGATTTCGGCGGGGTGAGGTTTATCCTTGCTGCTCTCAGTGGTGTCCAAGGTAGAGCAAAACCCCGAGCCTGGGAGAGCTGCAGAAGGAGCCACCCCATTCCCATGTCCATATTTAGTGGATTCCACAGAGCTAAAGGTTTTTAGCTGTTCAATGTTAGCACTACTTGTGTTTCAAGGCCGTGTAACTGCGACGGGGCGTGTTCAGCTCGCTGTGGAGTGTCTGAGTCCTTGTGTGCTGGGCTTTGGTTGGGGTTTTTTGTTGGTTGGGTTTTTCTCTGCCTCACCTTGAACACCCCACAGGCCGTGGGAGATGTGGGTGAAGGCTCTGGAGCTCTGTGGGATGGGGTTTTTGGGGCAGAACAACCCTTTCCCCGAGAAAGACCTTGCATTTCAACAGTTGGGTTTTGTGTTGATTAAGTTAATCTGTGCATTCTGTTTGCCATTGCTACTTTGTGTAAGTCTGTATATATTGTAGAAAATGTATGGTGGAAATATTAATACACTATCTCTAGTGTTTTTTAAATTTAATCAGTACAGTACCTGTGCCTGCATGGTGTTACAGACCATGCGTCGCCCTATATTCAGGGTTCAAGCTTTCCCTTGCTTGTTTAAGGGGTTTATGTATAAATATATTTTATGCCTTTTATTACAAGTCCTGTACTCATGACTTTTGCCATGGCATTTTGTTCTACTTATACTGTAAATTATGCATTATAAAGAGTTTCATTTAAAAAAAAAAATTACTTGGTACAATAATTATTGTAATTAAGAGATGTAGCCTTTATTAAAATTTTATATTTTTCAAATTAATATTGTCTTGACTTTTTTTTCACCCTTAATGCCTTAAAAGGGTTATTTTTTTCTCATCTGTGGTGGAAAGAACTGGTGAGCTTCCCTGAGTTGGCAGGGGCTGTTCTTGCTGGGAAGGAGGCAAGGCAAAAGCTGGAGCTGCTCTTCAGTGTGAGCATTAAATAATTTACAGCTCCTTCAGGTAACTCACCTGCAAATTGACCTGGTCTTGCTTCCAGAGTGCACTGCTGAGCTCACCTGATGGAGCCAGGGTGTGACATCCACAGGGATGTGGAGGTCCCCAGGCTGGAGCTCCTGTCATGGCACACCTGGTGGGTTTGGTGTTGGGCTTTGGGGATGGACACAGCCTTCCCCAGATGTGATGGAGCTGGGACTGCTCCCCTGCATCCCATACCAGGGTAAACTCAGCTTTGTGAAGTTCAAGGCAATCCCCAGCTCTGTAAAGCCCCAGCTCAGGTTGGCCAAGGTGAACTGAGCCAGGTTTGCTGGGGGCTGCAGAGCAGGACAGACACAGGGAGCTCCTCCTTCCCTCTCACCCACGTTTAAGGTACAAACCCTATCTCATAGCTACCCTATCTCATAGCTACCCTATCTCATAGCTGAACGAGCCTAATTTGTTCCTCAGGGAGGCTGCCCATGCCAGGGATGGATTTGTCTCCCAGCTGTCACCCAGACCTTCCCCAGCTCAAGGAGAAATGCTGGGCAGGCAATTGTGGAGCTGCTCTTGGTGTGTCCTGTTGGTAACCACAGCCAGCCCTTTGCTTCTGCCTCGCCAATGGCACTGACTAGGGCTTTTTTTTTTCTTCTTCTTCCTCCCCTCTCTCCACCCTATTTTTTTCTATGAGGTTTTAAATTATCTGGGTTATTTTGTGTGTTTGAGAAGACTTCATTTAAAACATCAGTAAAACTTGTATCAAAGGGCTCAACTTCACACTGAGTACACAGAGCTGGGGACTGAATCCTGCAGTTCAAGGGAGCTGCAGGCAGTTTTACACATTTAAATGGATGGTGCCTTGTTTTAAAAAAACCATCTGAAGTTCATGGGGTTCATCTTAATTGATAAGCTGGACATAACGGATGGGTGTAGGGAGACTTCAACAACATAAGGGAAGAAAGATTTTTTTTTCCCCCCTCTCTCTCTTTTTTTAGTCTACCATCAAAGGTTGGGAACTTAGCACTACATCGTAGTATTATTTTTCTTCTGCTATTAAAATGAATCACACTGTGCCTAATTCTTCTTGGGAAGATGAATGTGTTTGAGGCAGCTTGAAGCCATTCAGTGCCTCACAAGCCTTTGCATCTTTCTATCAATGTTCCAAAATACTCACCTCTGTTTTTTTGGATGTCTGTAGAAACAATATATAAAATGGCTTCAAATACATGGCAGGCTGTTTAGTGGAGATGAAAGGGTATTTGAATAGTCTTTTTAAAATGAATGAAAAGTGAATACTCTCTTCTGTTTCAATTATAAGTGGGACATGGAGCTCGTTAGACACCACCTTAATATGTGACACTCTGAAAAATGTTCACCTACCTTCAGCAGTTCAGAAACATTTTGTTTTTTAGCTTGTCTCGGGATAAAGATTGTGATTACAGGTCTGGCATGTTCCCTGCTAAATGGAGAGGCAGCGTGGGAAAGTTCTGCTCTTACAGCTTGAAAGTAACATCCAACCAAATTGTTTTTTACACAGCACAGAAGACTGAGAGGGAGTAAGAACCTTATTTTGACCCAAGTGGGTTGGTTTTTTTTTAAAGTTTAGCTGAAGTTTATCAGGTTTAACAAAAACTATGCAAATTCATGCAGAAAAAAGATGCCCACATAGCTGCTTGTGGTGCCAAAGCACCCTGTGTTAGATCTTTTCAGAGGAGGGACCCAAAATGTTCCAGTTTGGGTCCTTTTCCAGAGGAGGGACCCAAAATATCCTTCATGAGTCCTTTTCCAGAGAAAGGATGCAAAATATCCCTGTTTGGGTCTTTTTCCAGAGGAGGGATCCAAAATATCCTGGCATGGATCCTTTTCCACAGGGTGGACCCAAAATGTCCTGGTTTGGGTCCTTCCAGAGGAAAGAAACAGAATGTCCCAGTTTGGGTCTTTTTCCAGAGGAGGGACCCAAAATGTCCCAAATTTAGGTCCTTTTCCAGAGGAGGGACCCAAAATGTCCTGATTTGGGTCTTTCCAGAGGAGAAACATCAAGAAGAAGAAATCTGCTGTGCAGGAGCAACCTTGAGCACTGCAGCAAGTGATCCCCAGCCACTCCACACACTCAAATCACACTAATTCTTAACACTTAGCCCATTTTTTTTTTGTCTTCAAAGCATTCTGGAAACGCTCCTGAAGCCCCACAGCACCCACAGAGGTAGGTGGCCTCAGCCCGTGGTGTGTAATTGGGGGTGAGTGGTGGCCAGAGGAGCTTCAAGGCCATGTGTTGGCTCCGGGTCACCATCCAACAAAAACACCAGCCCCACTTACTGCCCAATTCAAATGTGTTGATGGACCTTTAATAGTCCTTGGGAGCATTTGGGATGTGAAGCCTGGAGGCTGGGAATCATAAGCAAGCCCTGAGGCGCTTTTTTTGGGAAAAAAAAGAAACACTTTCCCAAGTGTTTCACAGCTGGAATTTGTTGGGGGTGTGGAGATCAGCCACAATGGTCTTGCTCCATCCCAAACCAAGGCTGGAAGCAGTGGGGAGTGGGGATGGGCTGAGTGGGGAGGGACAGCTGCAGGGCTGGTTCTTCTCTCTGAGTGGGGACAAGGACCCTGGAAGCCTGCATTTGGTTTTCTTCAGCACAAACCAGGCTGCATTTGGATGCACAAAACTTCCCAGCCCTTGCTTGTGGGCCTTGCTGCTGGCCTGGGTTGATCACAGCAGATCCAGTGAAACTCTTTTGTTTTTTCTCTACCCTGAATGTTTGGCATGCCCAGAGGGTGCAAAACATCCAAAAACTGCCCCTGAGATGGTGAGCTTGAAATAACATGAAATAAATAAAAAATACTTCCCCTCACTTTATGAACAGAGACACTTAGCTTTGAAAGGCTCCAGTAGTGGGAAGATGCTTTGCATTGGTGAAGAACCACAAAAACTCCTTCCTTTCCCCAGGTGCTGCCATCAGGAGCACGTCCAGTTGCCCCCAGCCTTTCTTAGGTCTCCCTGAGGTTGTTTTCTGCCCCCTGCCCTGGGAGTTTATTCCCTCCAAACCCATGAGTCAGCCCCCAGTGAGCTGGGCTGGAGCATCTGCTGGTTCACACTCTGCCTGCCTCATATTGGCAGCTGTATTCCCTTCCTCTTTCACCTTCCATTAACCTCATGTTCCTCAAACACCTTCATCCAACTACTCCATTCCTGTAGCAACCTCAGATTAATTAAAATGAAAAAAAAAAAAAAAAGAAAGGAGCACACTGGCTTTAAATGAGGTTCCTATCCCATTGCTTTCAAATGCTCTCTCTTAATCACAGAGCCCAGAAAACACCCACACACTGGAGGCTGGAGAATTATTTAAGGCAAATCATCTTCCTTCCTCTTCTGAAAAAAGATCAGACTAGTTCTGGATGGCGAGAGCAGCTCTGGTTCAGGTCCTTTCCATTCTTCCCAGCAACGTCCCCAATTCCTGCCCGCAGCCTCCCCACACAGCCCTGCACACACTCCTTTCCCCCCCACCCTCATTAGCATGCTACTAATCATAATGAAGAGTCCCAGGATGAATTTTTCTAACATTTAAACCATGGCCTGCCATATGTTTTAGCCTCTCTTTTAAATTAAATGAGTGTTGTGGTGTGTTTAATCTTCAGGGAGCACTGAACTCGCAGAGTGAGAGAGGAGGCTAATTTTGGACATCAGATCTAGGTGATAGCATAATTTCAGACAATTTTGGCTGACCTCCCTGGGC